GGGAAGAGAGGGGAAGGGGGGGAAGAGAGGGGAAGGGTGGGAAGGAAAGGCACAGTGTGGCGTTTGCTTTCCTACCTCGTCTTCAGTCTCCTCGAGCAGTCTGATGAGAGCATGGAAGCCATTCCAAGAAGTTTAAAGAAGTACAACACATGGACATTAACACATGCCAAAACAAAAATTGTTTTTGAGACCTCTGACAAACACATCTTGACAGCATGACAATTATAGCAACTCCAACAGATTTCACGCCCAAAGTTGCACAGTACCCAACAAGACTGCACAGCCATGTGGCTTTTCTGATGGGCAGCAGTAATCAAATGTGGTAGGACCTTGACGTGCACATCCCAAACATCTTCTTTGTTGAGCCACCACCAAGAGAACCCAAGCTGGCAATGCTGCAGGCACACACACACACACACACACACACACACACAGAGAGAGAGAGAGAGAGAGAGAGAGAGAGAGAGAGAGAGAGAGAGAGAGAGAGAGAGGTTTTCGGCTGCTTAAAAGAAAAGTTAAAAAGCAGGCTCCTCTCTCTTCGTCCCACTCAACAACCTGCTGGCCGTCTGCCTGTCCGTTCGTTCACCCACTCACCCACCCGCTTGCCTGTCAGTCCGTTCGTTTGTCCATGCACTCACCCACCCGCTCACCCGTCTGTCCATCTGTTTGTCCAGCCACTCACCCATGTGCCCATCTGTTCGTCCGTTTGTCCACCCACCCCCACACCTGCACGTTGGCCACCCACTCACCCACCCACCCAACCGTCAGTCTGTCTGTCCGTCCATCCACTCGCACACCAGCGCATCTGTCCACCTGTCCGATCACCCCTGCCCATCCTTCTGTCCGTCCATCCACTCACAAACCCACCTACCTGTCCTTGCGTCTGCCCGTACGTCCACCCACCCGCCCATCCGTCCACCTGTCCGTATGCCTTCCCTTCCATACGTCTGTCCCTCTGTCCCTCTGTCCCTCTGTCCGAGCATCCGTCCAATTCCATTGTTCGGCCGCTCGGTCTGCTTGTCTGTCTGTCTATCTATCTATCTATCTGTCGGTCTATCCGCGCGTCCGTGCGTCTGTCTGTCTGTCTCTATCATTCTGTCCGTTCAATGAACTGTTTACAAGTCCTGCACATCCAGGCATCACCCAACGCAGAACAATAGGATAGCATAACATGACAGATGGGAAAACGAGGTGCAGAGCAATATCACACAGAAGAACATACTTTCACCAAGCGATGCAGCCCCCCCCTCTCACCACCGGACTTTTCCCAGAACCGTCCAATCCCTCATACATCGTACTCTTTCACGAGGTTCGCAGCTCTCCCTAGGCCTCCCTAGGCCTACAACTTACAAGCCTTGCGAAACCTCAGACAGCACGATTCATCATCGGTTGTATCGGCACTCAGGGAGATAACTCTTACTTGCCACTTCTCGGAGCATGCCAGCAATCGGAAAAGTCCTTTCTCCATTCATATAGTTTCATGATTTCATACGAAACTAACGGAAACTTGTCAACAAAAGCAGAGGAGATGAGAACAGGCTTGGAACCTATGGTTGGAGATATTGACCACCACTCTGGTCCAAACACTCCCTACCTCTCACAAAACACTTGGAGCTCCTTCTGCTGAATCTTCAGTTTCTGCTTAACTGCAAAAAGTCACGAACAGTGTGAAGAGGGAAAAACAAAAAAACGAACCGTGTGAGGAAGACCAGAAGGATGCATAGATGGATCATTCAGCATCGATTTAGCGATCTGGATCCAAGTGCAGACAACTGTGACTGCAGATCGGCCATCGATGAGCACAAAATCAGGCAATTATTTTGGCTCTTCGAGAGAAAGGCAGGGTGGGGCGGACCAACAGCCTTAACTCAGTTCGTACAACAATTGACTGTTGAGATACAGACCCAAGTTCAAATCCCGAGACAATCAGATGAAGAAAATTAAAAAAATAATAATAATAATAAAAAAGAGGCAGGGTGGGCCGGGGTTGGGTGGGGGAAGGGGAGGTGCAGCATTTTGTGTCCAGTACGCCTGCTTTCCCTTATCGAGGGTCGCCGGGGGGGGGGGGGGGGGGGGGCGGGCACGGGGGGAGGTGAGGGTGGGAAGCATGAACAGAAAAAAGTTAAAAAAACATTGACTTTCTTCTGAACTTCTTTAAAGTTCCTTTGTTCAAATTTTTTTTTTTAAATATGGCTTGCCACATTTTAACTACTACCCACCAAAAGGGCAAAACCCCATTGCCATTCCCTTTCCTCCCAAGTCTTCAGAAACAAGCCCAGATTGCAGCTCACCTTTTTTTTTTTTTTTTTTTTCCAAGATTGCAGCTCTTCATGCCACTACATTATCAATCATCCAATCCAGGGTGGAGATCTGCTCAGGTTCTTGGCGACTCTTTGCGTTTACTAGAGAGACAGGCCCAGGGTGGTCCGATCAGTGTACGCCGATGTGGAAATTGTTCGATTAGAGACTCTGTTCACTTGCAGATCAGATTGTGGCCCACACAGCCAAGTGAACGGTCCATCAAATCAAATCAAATGAGGTCTACCCCAATCGAGTTCTCAATCTGATCAACCCGAAAAAAAAGCTCCTCCGACTTAAAACCACCAGTGCGACCGAACTTAAATTGTCAAGCCTACAGAATGAGACCCGATACTTTCTTTAAAACTTTTTAACTCTTTTTTTTTTTTCTTTTTTTTTTTTTTTTACATGGCCTTGCTGTGCTACCGGGGGKGGTAGAGCATTCAACTCCTACTGGACATTGGAAAATTGGAGGCAGTAGCGGTACCCCCACCAACCTGCGTGACAAAAGACCAGCCAGGCGTTGCGGGGCCAAAGAGAACCTAAAAAAAACAACTGACCTAGCTCAGTTGGTATAGTCAGTTGGTACCCCCCCCCTGGACTGAATTGTTGAAATACAGACCTGAGTTAGAACTCCATTGGAAGCAGATGAGTAGGAAAAAAGGGAAAATGAGAACCTCAAAAAAGCATAACCGGTTCCATTTAGCAAAGAAAAGTTATGTTACCAGTTGTCCAATGGCAGGACGTCCATTGGGGATGTCTTTTATTTTATTTTTTATTTTAAATTTGACAACGAATTTCGATATCATCCCGAGGCAAAAGTTGTTCAGTTTTTCTTCTTTTTTTTTTCTTCTTTTTTTTTTTTTTTGGGTTCGGGCTCGGACAGACTGCCCAGGGAGGATGTCCGGCCGGTTGTCCGAGCGGACAACCCCGGACGGTCAGGGGGTCCCGGGCGTCCGATCAGGTAACCTTGAAGAAAAGAGAAAAAAGAAGGGCAAAGAGAATCTCAAAACCCGCTCGAGAACGATAACCGACAGCAGCTATACCTGCTGGCAGTGTACTTTTTACACAGAATCTGGAGAGAGATTTAGGGCCAGGTGACCCGCCGGCCTAGCTCAGTTGGTAGAGCACGTAAGTGGCATTCAGGAGGTCCGTGGGTTCGATTCCCCACAACATCCATTGGACTCCCCGCAGCCCCCTGCGGCACACTTCGGGCTCACCAGCGGAGATAGATGGCTTGCCCCCCTGGCTCGTGGTGGTAGGTTGCCCGAGGCATTCCATCCCTCGGCAGGGGTTAGGGGCCGGGGTGCTGCTCCTCCTCGCACAGAGCAGAGTTGAGCATCAACCCTAAACAAGGGAACAGGCCCAGCTTAGGAAAAAAAACAAAACTGGACTAGAGGTAGGTAGATAGGTAGGTAGTGGGAGATAGGATGAGAGAAGAATCTAGGGTAGTTACTAGTTTTATAAACAAAAGACTAAGGGCCAGGATTGCTGTTGCTAGGTTCATCCTGAGAAAGCACGAACCTGGGAACCATGACAACTTACATACAGTTGATTTATTAAACCACCAGAACACCCGGGCCTGTTTTACCAATCCTTCGAGCCCTCTGCGTGCCAAGAGTTACCGAGCCTGGAGGCATCGGGAACCGCTAGGGGAAATTTCTCGGTTGGCACCGCTACCGCCCCTTATGCTGGACCGCAACTTACAGTTGATTCAAACTACCAGTACACCTGGGCCTGTTTTACCGAACCTACGAGCCCCCTGCACGCTGAGTTTTGCCGAGCCTGGAGGCAGCGGGAACCGCTAGGGGAGATTTGTCGGCTGGCACCGCTACCGCCCCTTATGCTGGACCTGCAACTTACAGTTGATTTAAACCATCAGTACAGCCGGGCCTGTTTTACCAGACCTACGGGCCCTCTGTTGCCGAGCCAGGAGGCCGCAGGAACTGGTAGGGGAAATTTGTCGGTTGGCACCGGTAGCGCACCTTATGCTGGACCTGCTGCCCGCAGCTGGAATGAAAGGTGGCCTTTGTTTTCTTGTTTTCACTCATGCACCACCCCAGGCCTGGCCGGAAGAAAGTGCTGCGTGAGAATGCCCTGAAATGAAAGGCGCTGACAGGCAATCTATTGCTCCCCACCTCTCGAGGGGAATGACATCAGAAGCCGCAGACATTCTTCTTTCTTATTAGAAAAAAATATGGAAAAACAGAAGGAAAAAAATGGCATACTAAACTCTGAACGTAATTACCTTCAGACGGCGCAGTGTGAACAACGAAGTACCAAATCGCCATTGCTCCAGACGGCCAGGGTCTTGTCCCATCTGAAAAGGTACAGCAGTGCGACCCGAACCATGCCCAAAACCTCGAATCGGCCCTTCCCAAATCTGCATACTTCGCAGATTTGGGTTCACAGTGTGAGTATGCCCTGAGATCGTCGGCTTGCCCCTTTTGGTAGGGCTTGGTAAGGTTTACCTTCCCCTCCCATCCATTGCCTGGGGTTAAGAGGAAGCCGTGGTGCTCTTAGACCCGGGAGGAGGTCGGTGCCGACCCATAACTGTTAGGGCCAGCCAGCTTGTGTGTGTGCATAGATAGGTTCTAGCCCTACACCCTGCACCTTCGACTCTAGTCTTAGACCCTGGACCCCCTTCGTGTGTGGATGGGCCCTGATCCCTTGCTTGTCCGGGGTAGGTAGTGCGAGGTACGATACTGAGAGAAGATGATAGCATAGTAAAAATGAGGCTGCCCCCCATATGAGGAGAAGACGAGCCTGCATTCTTCTTCAAAAAAAAAAAAAAAAAAAAAAAAAGGGAAGCTCTTCCTCAGAACGTCATTGCCTTCAGATGCATCCAGATGTGGACATAATTGCGGCCAGATACATTCTGGAAAGTCCTAGT